CCCCAAAACCCCAAAACCCCCATTGAAGCAAGTTTTGATAGAATAACTTATTTTATTTAAATGCTAAAATTCATTGATTAAACTTAAAAGTAGAGGATTTATCCATGAAGGAATTAGTTGGGTCCTTTCTAAACACCTTAAGATGAAAGAAGTCTCCTCTCTTTGGAACAACTTCCTCTCTCTTTTTCTCTATCTCACTATATTTTTAATATTAATTTCTTGAGAATCTTACATTGGCTTAGTCTTTGTTAATGAACCCTAAAGTCTAAGTGCACGTGCTGCATATTCCTTTGAATCTTTGTCATTTCCTTGCATTTTGAACTTCTAAGACTATTTAAAGAAACTATCAACTAAGTCATTAAGCCTTTCTCTATCACTAAGAGTCCATTTCCACTTATTGAGACCCTCTCTCAATTCAATCCATGAAACTTTATTGTCTTTATTAGTGTTCCACTCATCAAACAATCTTTCAATCTATAGGGCTTAGATAATTAAATTGTTTTACTTGATCATCATTGAGAGCAGGAACTTTTCCTATAATACAATCATCCTAGGATAATCTTCTCATTAGTTTCTTTAACTCATCTTTTTATAGTCCATTTTTATCCTTATCATATTCCCTAAATAGCTTCTTCACCTGATTTTTCTCCCATTCATCTAGCTTATCCTCAGTATTCTAGCCAAATTTATCTTTATTTTCCTGCTTTTTAGTTGGCACTGGAATTCCTACATAAGTTTTCTTTTCATAGAACTACAATATTCATTATATTATTAGAGCTGATTATTATTACCTATTGTCTTTTATGCTCTTCATCTTGCTCTATTCTAAGTGTTCTCATTTTGATTTAATCAACTTCTTTATAAAGATCTTTTTCACCTTTACTGAAGGCCTGAGATACTGGAATAGGCTTTATTTTAGTTGGCTATACGAACTTGGCTTATTTTCTCTCATATTCTGGGTCTAATTTAGAGGCTTTGATTCTTTCCTCAGTTGTTATAGGATGTCTATCAAGAATCTTGATCTAAGGCATAGCGTAAATGATCTTTAATCTATAGTCAGGCTCCTCACTAAGTGGATTGCCAAAGAGATCAAGCTGATCAAGGAAAGCAAACTTAGATAAAAATGTTATGAACTTATCTAGATTTCTAAGTCTGTTGTTTGAAAGCAATAAAGTCTCAAGGAATTTAAACTTCCTTGTACCATCAATGTTATCTATAATGTTGTTCTGACAATAGACTCTCTTAATCCTGAAATTAGTGCTGATTCCATCTAAGTTTCGCAACTACATTAAGTAAATAAGAACTAACGTTTCATATTGGAGAATGGCATGAGTTGATATTCATTGATAAAAATATACATTACCTTGTTATTATTCAACCACACTGTCTCTAAATTGGGGAAATCTTCAAACTTCTCTAGCATATCAATGTCTCTATCACTGAGATGTACTTCTATAAGATCTCTTGCTTGCTTGGCATTTTTAATAGGCAAAACTGTCCATGGATTACCGAATTTAATAGGCTCTTCAACCATTTTAAAATAATTTATTATTTGTTAAATCTCTTAAATATAAATTCGCAATGAAAGGAATAGTTATAATTAAACTATCTGGCAGTAAAACTTAGCATGAATATGACAGATCACTTCTTCTTTTTGCCTCCCTTTTTACCCTTCTTCTTTTTCTTGGCTAAAAATCTGCCTTCGTCTTGGAACCATTTCCACTTTCTCTGAATGTAACGGGCAGCATCCTCCATTTCCATTTTCTCCTTCTTTCTTCTCTCCAAGTCTTCTTGTCTCTCTTGCTCCTCTTTGTCTCTTTTATTTTTCTCATCGACCTCTTGTTGAATGAGTTAGTGCATTCTTGAAATTTCCTTTTCATCCTCCTCTTTCTTTCTGTTAATCTCGTCCTTTTCCTTTTCTAGAGACTCGATCTTTTTATCCTTAATTTTTTCTTGGTCCTCAGCAAGTGTATTAAGATTTTAGGTCTTCTTGTCTACATAACCTCTGATTCTCTCACTCACAAGTTTCTCAGTCTTGATTTGTTTTTCTAGCATTTTGATTCTTTCTTCAAGTTCATTTTGTACCTTATCATACTGTCTCTATTGGCAAGCTTATTTACCGTCAGTTTCTCTATCTCTATATTAAACATAGAGTTCAGCCTCTGTTTTAGTCTCATTAACCTGCTTCTTCAAATTGAGGATCTCTTAATTGTTCTCCAAAGCTTCTTTTGCATAATCATCTTGAGCTTTCTTGAAATCTTCATTCAACTTTTTAATCTCTTAGTTCAGTTCTTTTTCCTACTTTCTCAATCTTTCAAATTCACCTTGCTCATCAAGTCCAGCTTTTATCTCAGCCTTGAATTATGAATATGACAGGTCTCTCATCTCATTAATGAGATTTTCAAGGAAATAGACTAGATGCTACTTGTCTTGCTTGATTTTCCTCTGATTCCCCTCGACATCTGGGTTGTCTTAGAGTTAACGACATAGTGTTCTTGTTGATTCTTTCAAATCCTTTGCAACTCTCTAAATTAAATATGAATTTTATTGAATTAATCAAAGCAAAATATAAAAGGATTATTCAGAAGTTGACATATCAATAGATTCTTACCAAAATATCGTTTCTGACATCTTCAAGTTTGTGTTTATTTGATAAGCCTTTTAGCTCAGATCTAAGTGTAACGAGTCTAGCATACTCTTTCTCTAGCTTGCTCTATTGATCCATGACTCTAGTAATCTCCTATGACATCATCTCTGTCATTTCCTCTCCCATATTTGACTTTAAGAGATCAAGGAACGATAATTTGCTCAAATTCTTTATGGAAAATTATACTAAAGTAAATGGTTACATCTTCTATGATAATAGAGACTTTGTAAGCCTCTAATGCTGAGATTTTATTCATTTTTATTTATTAATAAATTCAAATTTAATTCATATCATTCTAGATGCGGGGTTTTGGGGTTTTGGGGTTTTGGGGTTTTGGGGTTTTGGGGTTTTGGG